AAACTCTATGCCTGAATAATTGGGCCATTGATTACTTCTGAAGCATAAATTAAGCCCACCAAATCAATCTTATTTGGACTTCAAAATTACAATAAAAAGGTTTCCAGATGACTTTTGGTTTACTTATTTCAAATTATTTCCTTTGATAAGTCTTTCTTTTTTGAAAAGACTTATGTATTAAATTGTTAGACTCTGTCATTCTTTAAGTACTAATAACAGCACATCCAAATACATCTCACATTCTGCTTTCATAATTTACTAACAAAGTTAAGATGCATGTAGGAATATTTTATTTTACTTTTTTATGCTTATTATTTATTTTGAGAGAGGGAGAGAGTGTGTGTACATGAGCAGGGGAGGGGCAAAGAGAGAGGAGAGAGAATCCCAAGCAGGCTCCACATTGCAAATGTGGAGCCCCATGCGGGGCTCAATCCCACAAACCACGAGATCATGACCTGAGCTGAAATCAAGTGTCAGAAGCTTAACCGACTGAGCAGCACAGGTGCCTCAACATGTAGGAATATTTTAAAGAAGTCTATTGGAGTCTATTGGAATTATTAGTGGCATTCTGTTTTTTAAGAGCGGGAAAAGTCATAAAAAGGAAATCTCTTCTGAAAAGAACAAATACATGTTCACAATTCCTGATCTGCAGTTCTGAAATCCTCCAAACAAAACAATGACAAATATATGTATCTCCTCACCTTTACTGGGGCGCCTGGGTGACTCAGTTGGTTAAGCGTCTGACTCCTGATTTTGGCTCAGAGCATGAGCTCACGGTGCGTCAGGCTCTGCGCTAACATCTCAGAGTCTGCGTGGGTTTCTCTTTCCCTCTCTCTCAGCCTCTCTCTCTCTCTCTCTCTCTCTCTCTCTGTGTCTCTCATAATCAATTAATAAACTTAAAAAAATATTCTCACCTTTACTGCAGAAATGTAAATGTGGGGGTGCCTGGGTGGCTCAGTCAGCTAAGCATCTGACTTCACTCAGGTCATGATCTCACAGTTTGTGGGTTCGAGGCCCACATCAGGTTCTGTGCTGACAGCTCACAGCCTGGAGCCTGCTTCAGATTCTGTGTCTCCCTCTCTCTCTGCCCCTCCCCTGCTGGTGCTCTCTCTCTCTCTCTTCTGAAATAAATAAAATAAAAACATAAAAAAATGTTTTTAAGGAAATGTAAATGTGTATGTGCTCGGGATGCTGGCCCTGGAAGAAGTATCCTACAATATATGGTGTATGTACTATATTCCCTTTACAAAATCTTAAAATTTCTGATTTAAGAGAAATATCTGGCCTCAAGGGTTTGGGACGAGAATCACAGACCTGTCTTAGAAAAGTCTAGGACAGATTATAGGATAGAAACAAAGTATAGGATAAAAAAGGATAGAGGGATGCCTGCGTGACTCAGGGAGTTAAGCATTGCCCACTCTTGATTTTGGCTCAGGTCATGATCTCACAGTTGTGCGATCAAGCCCTCCACACCCAGTGTTGAGCCTTCTTAAGATTCTCTCTCTTACTCTTCCTCTGTCCCTCCCGATTATCATGCCCACACTCTCTCTCTCAAAAACTAATGAAATAACTAACTAAATAAATAAAAGTATAGGATAGATATTTATATGGCATGAAAATATGCCAGATATATATCTGGCAAATGAGTCCAGGAGTACAGATATTTCGTGATATGAAATCTGAAAAAAGAGTCAGATAATTACCAGGCTGACCTCCGTTTAATTAGTAAGAAAACTAGGTGGGTGGGGGGCATTCAGCAACTTGCCCAAGGTTGCTCAGCTACAGCTGGAACCCCGGGCAGTCTGGCTTTAGAAATCATTCTTTTGAAGCACAAAAATTATGTTACTGAAGACTAATTTTGAATGGTTCCACTGTCGCAGCAGAGTGGGATGCAGTCTCTAAGTTAAAAGCACAAGGATTTGTGGAAGTTCATGCCCTTATAGGCAAAACTCTAGGCTCCAAGAAAGTGTCAGGCTGCCTCATACATAACATTGGAGGATCCTGTTCATTGGGCACCATGAACAGCCCCAAAGAAAAAACTATGGGTGCTCTTACACCGTGGATTTCATCTGTCCAATGGTAGCCTTCCACACTGAACTTTCAAGCAGCTAATCAGTGCTTCTTTTTTAAAGAGCAGAAAATTCAGGATCACCAGACATTTAAGGAAAATGCCAAACATGAAACAGATCAAAATAATCCATAAAAAGGAACCTAAACAGGACGGAAGAAATGCAAAGTGTAGAAGAGAACATTTCAAAAAATTATACATCATTGTACACCATTCTTATAAGAGGAGCCAATAGATAATACATGAAAATAAAGGGGCGCCTGGGTGCTCAAGTTGGTTGAGCATCTATTTGTACCTTCAGAGATTAGAAGAAACTATATCCATGAAAGGAAAACAAGGCATTATACAATAAGGGGGTGGGTGCAATGGACGATAAGATAGAGCATCCAGAAATTAAAAATATGACACCTGAAAATTCAATGAAACTTTGGAAGGTAAAGCCAATGAAGTTCCCCAGAAAGTAGTTCAAGAAAACAGAGATCAGAAAACTTAAAGAAGTTATCCTGGAAGTTATTTCAGAAAAAGCTTCCAGAAAGAGAAACACATAAAATGGTGGAACGGAAATCATCCATTTATGGAACAATTTTAAGAACTGAAGAATGAGTCTCCAGACATGAAAAATCCTAAGGGACTGGAAAAATAATTTATAAAAAAATCCAAGCACATTATGCAACTTCAGAATACTAGTGAAAAGAAAATGCTAACAACTTCTGATAACTGTTTGAAAATTTTCTTAAGAATTTGGGGGTGGGGGCTAATAGCAACACACATATGGAAAGATGGGAACTCATGGAAATTCCATAAACAAAGTAAGTATAAGAGAGATGAAAGTTACCAATGTACCTTGCTTGACTCAGCAGTAAGCAATGTCATGGTAAATGTCAATACTGATGACTGATTTAACCATGGATAAAGTTTGTCTGTGGGATCGAAATTCCCAAATACTTCTAAGAGGAGCCAATAGATAATCCATAAAAATAAAGGGGCGCCTAGGTGGCTCAAGTCCGTTGAGCGTCTGACTACTGATTTCGGCTCAGGTCATGAAATCACAGTTCGTGGGTTCAAGGCCCTCATCTGGCTCTGTACTGACATGTTGGAGCCTGCTTGGGATTCTCTCTCTCTCTCTCTCTCTCTCTCTCTGCCCCTCCCCCACTTGTGCATGCTCTCTCTCTCCTTTCTCTCAAATGAATAAACATTTAAAAAAAATAAAGGAATGTAACTGTATTAATGAGAAATAAGATGAAAGGTACTAAAACAATGTTTGAAAGAGTTGAAATGGTTACTTCTGGGGAGTTACCCAAATTAGAAAGTGAAATTTTTCTTTATTGTCCCATGTCTATACATCGTTTTTTGTTTAAAGTCTATTTATTTATTTTGAGAGAGACAGAGACAGTGCAGAGAGAGAGAGAGAGAGAGAGAGAGAGAGAGAGAGAGAGAATCCCAATTAGGTTCCATGCTCTCGGTGCAGAGCCCTACGTAAGCCTCGAACTCAGGAAATTGTGAGATTATGACCTGAGCCAAAATGACAATCCGGACGCTTAACTGAGCCACCCAGGCACCAATCCCATATGTTTAAAATAAATCTTTAGATATACATTCAAAATTTTGAAATATAAAAATATAATTTTCTCCTTGCAATCATCTGTCAATACTGGTATTCTGCGAATATTTGCCTTTTCACTTGTAGTATTAAGTTAACCATGTACCATGAACATTTCACCCCAACCCATGTGGACCTCTTCACCTTTTTAAGTCACTATATAGGATTCATTCTCTGGTGTATTACATTTTTTTTCTTTTTGTAATTTTCTTGATATGGATATTAAGGTGCTTCTGATATTTTGTTATTAGCAACAACACATTGAGAAATACCCTTGTTACATTATTTGTGCCCACACATGCTGTATTTCTTCAGAAATCATTGCTAGAAATGATGCTGCCTGTTGAAAATTTACCTTTTCACAAAGATTTCCCCATTACTTTCCAAAATGTGGACAAATGTAGACTCTGACAAATCATACTGTGTGCACATAATGATAATGGTGATTTTTTCATGCGGTATTTTTCCCTTCTATGATTTTGTTGTGAGAGATAAAAGCCTTCCAGAGAAAAACATAACGTTAAAGAACAAAGGTGTCGCATTGTTTCCAAATTTAATGAGAATATTGTTTGTCGTAACTGTTTTCTGAATAATTTTTTAAAACTGTTTGGTTTGGGGGCACCTGGGTGGCTCAGTCAGTTGAGCGTCCAACTTCAGCTCAGGTCATGATCTCACAGTTCGTGGGTTCGAGCCCCGCATTGGGCTCTGGGCTGACAGCTCAGAGCCTGGAGCCTGCTTTGGATTCTGTGTCTCCCTCTCTCTCTCTGCCCCTCCCCAGCTCATGCTCTCTTTCGCTCTGTCTCAAAAATAAATAAATAAACTTAAAAAGAAAAGTTTGGTTTGGTTTTCTCTGTTTTGTTAAGAAAAAAAAAAAATCCCAGTTCTACTTTGTGAAGAGTTTTAATAAAGATAAACGTTAAATTTTCTTTAATATTTTGGTATTTATCAAATTGTTTTCAGTAAATGTGTACTCAGACAATAGGTAAATCCTTTGCTGCTTAAGTACACAGCAGAATGTTTTTTTAATTATTGTTTTCGAGAGCATATCTGGATAATTGTGTTTCGTATAAATATATGGATTTTTAAAACCAGAATCTGAATGATAGTTTCACTGTACTGAAAGAGGATTCCCTGACGGCTTATAACGTTTTCCTATCTATTGAAATACACAAGACTACTCACTTGACTGATTCAGGGAATTATCTTTTTTTTTTTTTTTTAACATTATCCTTAAGAAGATTTGTAAAGGAGCATTAGTCACATAGTCATGGAGCTGTATTTGAAAGACTTTTGAGCCTTTTCAACAAATGTACTTTTGTTTTTCTTTTTTAGGGGCACCGCAATTGCTGGCATCGTGTTTGGAATTGTATTCATCATGGGGGTCATTGCGGGGATTGCCATATGTATCTGCATGTGCATGAAAAACAACCGTGGGACCCGGGTGGGCGTCATCAGGACCACCCACATCAATGCCATCTCCTCCTACCCTGGTAAGCACAATCGCTTACTCCTTCTGAAGGAAGAGTCAGATTTGTTAGTTATGCTCTATGCCTTGGAGAGAGGAAACATTGAAGAGGTCACCACAATCATCTCCAAGAAGGTAGGGCATTTCTAAATTAACGTAGATTGAAGCTCTAACTTTCAATGGAGATTAATTAGGTCCAAGTAAGAAAATCTACCTCACATCTGAAGGTATTCGTATTTTTAATGCCTGTCTCATTGACTGCAATTCCCAATCAGCCGGAGTTAAGAGAATTAGACAATTCACGCCCACTGTGTCTACCAGGCAGAGTTCTGACAAATAATTCTAGAGAAAGTGTAAGTGACATGTCTTAACAAACTGGCATCTGACCTAGTAGGTATGTATGTCTTAAGGAAAAGTATTAACTAAAGTTTTTACGTGTCCTCTTTATGCAAGGAAAACCCTCTTAACATAATAGCAAACTTCTCACCAAAGAAAATTCTCAGCAAAGGTAATACATTAATAATTTGACAGGTATTTGACAAGAATCTGCTAGAAGTTCTACATATAAACATATTGAATACATATGACTCTATAACCAAAGAATCCATTTTACATTAGGTGATTACACAGTAGAGTTTTCTAAGTCAGTCTATATATGTACATTTTGACATATAAAAAGGAGTCAAGTTTTAAATGTAATACATTCTTAAAAAGATAATTTCCCATCCACTGTATGTTCTTTCTCAGCTCCTTTATTTATTTTTATTTTTTTAATGTTTGTTTTATTATTTTTGGGACAGAGAGAGACAAAGCATGAGCAGGGGAGGGGCAGAGAGAGAGGGAGACACAGAATCTGAAGCAGGCTCCAGGCTTTGAGCTTTCAGAACAAAGCCCGACGCAGGGCTCGAACCCACGGAGTGTGAGATCATGACCTGAGCTGAAGTCGGACGCTTAACCAACTGAGCCACCCAGGCGCCCTCTCAGCTCCTTTAGAAAAGAGGGTACCTCGGGGCACCCTCTCCAGAGGAACAGTCAAAGCCAGGGGTTCCTCATTTTAGCCAAAGTAAATGGCAAATTCCTGACTGGGGGCTAGAAGGTAATGCATGAACTGGCTCCTCTTTTTATTTGTCTGACGTCATTTCGTTCTCCACTCCCTCTTGCCACTCTGGCTCTAGTCACACTCTTCCTTGAACACAGAAACATGCTCCGTGTGCTCTGTGAACACAACAGGGCACACTCCCATCTTAGGGCTTTGCCTAGAACATGGACTCCCGCACTCAATTCAACTCTTTGCTCAAAAATCACCTCCTGACTGAGGGCTGCTCTGCCCACTCCATTTAAGAGTGTATTGTGTCCCTCCCCATTGTGTCCTTGTTCTACCCAGTTTTTTTTTCCCCCAGAGTACTTTTAATCTTCTAAGATACCATATAGTTTATCTCATTGTTATATTTACTGTTTATTGTCCATCCCCTCCTTCTAGAATATTAGCTCCACGAAGAAGAAATCATTGTCTATTCTGTTCACCACTCGATCCCAAGTATAATACCGGGACTGGCACATAATGGCCATTTAAACAGATGTAGTTGAACAAGAGAGGAACACCACTCATGACAAGATCTGATGTAGTTATAGGGGCGCCTAGGTGGCGCAGTCGGTTAAGCGTCTGACTTCAGCCAGGTCACGATCTCGCGGTCCGTGAGTTCGAGCCCCGTGTCAGGCTCTGGGCTGATGGCTCGGAGCCTGGAGCCTGTTTCCGATTCTGTGTCTCCCTCTCTCTCTGCCCCTCCCCCGTTCATGCTCTGTCTCTCTCTGTCCCAAAAAAAAACCAAAAAAAACAAAAAAAAAAAACCAAAAAAAAAAAAAAAAAAAAAAAAAAAAAAAAAAAAAAAACGTGGGGGAAAAAAAAATTAAAAAAAAAAGATCTGATGTAGTTATATACAAAAACCTAGAGAATTTACTTTAAATTCCACCCTGGAATATGTAGCTTTTACTCACACAAAAGCAATTCACAATGTGGATTCTTTCCAACCTAGTAAAAATTTTGATGGGATTAGTGTAATGATGTTAGAACTCGAGGAAAGGGGAGAAAAGGGGGGGGTTGTTTTTTATTCTTCACATCTCCCTGTTTTTACCTGGTCAGCCCATAACTCAAGAGAACAGAGAGGAGTCAGAGAGAGACATTAACTAGAAAGAAGACAAGGAGAAGCCCTCTGTAGATAATATTCCAGATACACTTTAAAAAAAAAAATTCTTAATGTTTATTTATCTTTGAGAGAGAGAGAGAGAGAGAGAGAGAGAGAGAGAGAGAGAGAGAGAAAGTGGGGTAGGGTCAGAGAGAGAGGGAGACATAGGATCCGAAGCAGGCTCCAGGCTCCGATCTCTCAGCACAGAGCCCGACGTGGGGCTCAAACTCAGGAACTGGGAGATCATGACCTGAGCCAAAGTTGGACACTCAACCAAACTGAGCAGCGCAGGAGCCCCCAGATACACTTTTGCTTGACCAAAAAAAGCTTAAATTAAACATTAAACATTTTAAAACATTAAAAAATATTTTGGGGGGCACCTGGGTGGCTCAGTCAGTTAAGCATCCGACTTCGGCTCAGGTCATATCTCGTGGTCTGTGAGTTCGAGCCCCGCATCAGGCTCCGTGCTGACAGCTCGGAGCCTGGAGCCTGCTTCAGATTCTGTGTCTCCTTCTCTCCCTGCCCCTTCCCCACTTGTTCTCTCTCTCTATCAAAAATAAATAAATGTAAAAAAATTTTTTTTAATATTTTTTATAAAAGTAGAATGTAAAATACAAAATATTTGAATGTGAGGGCTTATGTTTTCTCGGGTTTGAAGTTTCTATTTCATGCATGGATACATGTTTTTGAATGGCATCATATATTCTGGCAGATCACGACAGCATGTTGCATTTTCAGTAAATGCATTGTTCTGGGAACCGAATACCGTGAGAAACATAATAAACCTTATGGTGGAAGCATTTTTACTGCAAAAAGGCTAGGTCTTCACAGACATAATGTGCTTGATCACTTCTCATTTCCTTCACAAAGTAACTAATTAAGCTTTTACTTAAGAGATAGGAAAACACACAGAGTAGTATTGAATGCTTTTCAAAATCTTTCATCTGTAGACATATTACATATTTTTCCTCACAGTAATTAAATAACCTTGTGATAAATGAGGCAACCACCCAATTTATTGTATAGTCCTACAGCCTGCGGGCCACATGCATGAGTAGAAAATAATTTGGCCAAGGTCATCTTATTCCTTGCTGAAAGGGCTCAGTGAGGACACCTGCAGTGAATGCTATTTCTGTGCACTAGAGAGATTACTGAGAAAAGGTAGTCTGCTACCCCCGATACTTTGTTGGACAATGAACTTCCAAAATAGTTTTTGTTCCTGCCATGTTGGGTAGAGTGAACAGTGTCCAGTTTAATTACAATTATTTGTCAAGTCTTATAACTTCCACTACCTTCCAGAACTTCATTGTGAGCAAAGGAAAGTGATCGTGCTAACCCTGTTTTTAAAAATAGGTTTGGATGATACACACTTGAAAGAAAAGAATACAGAAAGACCACAACAGAAGGCTTTGCAAAGATATAAAAATCAACAAAAGGAAAGCAAGGAATTTCAATGCTATCAAGAAATCTGAGATCTGAAGTATATTGTTGAGTCCCCTGCTGATTGCCTAATAGATGATAGATAGATAGATAGATAGATAGATAGATAGATAGACAGACTGATTTGGGTAAACAGTGGAAAAGGAGGGGGAAGTTCTTGCAAACAGAAAAATGACAAAGGATACATGTAGAAAGGGGTTGTGGAATTGGAAAAAATCATCATTTTTAAAACCATCATAAGAAAAGTTTGGGGGTGCTTGTGTGGCTCAGTAGATTAGGCAGCCAACTCTTGGTTTCGGCTCAGGTCATAGTCTCATGGTTCGTGGGTTTGAGTCCCACATTGGCTCTGCAATGACAGTGTGGAGCCTGCTTGGGATTCTCTCTCTTCCCCTCTGTCTCTGCCCCTCCATGCTCCTCTCTCCCTCTCTCAAAATAAACAAATAAACCTTAAAAAAAAAATGTTTGGGACAAGAGTCATTAATGATGCTGAATCTGGGGGAAGAGGCTGCAGGGGGGCAGGACATTTGCAAGTATCTGCTCCCAAGTTTGCTGCTAGTTATAAGGGGAAAGATAGAAACCAGACAGTAGAGAAATCAAACAACATCTTGACCAGCCAGTAAAGTCACCAAAAAAGGACAGATGGACATCTTGCACCTTTGGGTATTAGTTACTCTGAAGATGACACAATTGTATATGTGTAGGATTCTGTTGAAAGTTTACAGCTTGAATCTAAGCATGAAAAAAAAAAATCTGACAAAGCCAAGTTGAGAAGCATTCTATAAAATAACTGACTTATGGTCTTTAAAATCTCCTGGAAATATTTCATTAAGAAATCAAAACTCTAGGGTGTCTGGCAGGTTTAGTCGATTAAATTTCGGCTCAGGTCATGATCTCACGGTTTGTGAGTTCAAGCCCCGCATCAAGCTCTGCACTGACAGTGCAGAGCCTGCTTGGGATACTTTCTCTCCCTCTCTCTGCCCTTCCCCTGCTCATGCTCTCTCTTTCTCAAAATAAATAAATAAAGCTTTTAAAGAATTTTAAAAAACTCAAAACTCTAGGGGCACCTGAGTGACTTAGCTGTTTAAGCGGCCAACTCTTGATTTCAGCTCAGGTCATGATCTCACAGTTCATGAGATGAAGGCTTGTGTCCAGTCCTGTGCTGAGTGGAACCTGCTCTCTCCCCTCTCCCTTTGTCCCTCCCATGCCGTCTCTCTCTTTTAAAGTAATTAAACATTCAAAAAAAGAAATCAAAAATCTATTTGCATCATTGAATTCACAAATGAGGGTAACCTTATTAGTATTTGCACTGAACACACAAAGACTTTCATATACTTATCAAAGGATTTGGTGATAGGAGGATAGTATCTTCTGATTGTGCCTATATTCTTACAGAAATTAGAAA